AAACTGCTAACTCGGGAACGGGAAAAGCTGAAGGCTTTAATTTTAAGGGTATGTTCCCTGCTCATGAGCGACTAAAAGATTTTAAATCTAATTCTTCCAGCGTGGCCTTTTCTTGCGGACCAGCAACTTTCCATTTGTCGGGTTACTGAAGTCGACACCTACAACTGACGTACCACACAGTTGCACAATTAACTTCCCGAACTTCGAGGGCCAGTATTTCACAGGGTTAGCTACTTTGGCACGAAAAGTGCGAAAACGCATAATCGCACCGGCCCGCCTGGTGCGTTTCAGCCTGGGTTTGCACAGTTCCCCGCAGGTTTTTACGACTAAAGACACTGATTTTTCCGGCAAATACTTCTACCTAAATGAATTAAGGATGATCAACACGACTGTCAGAAGACGTCTCCTTAAAATTTTAGTTTTCTAGTTTCTCTAGCTCCCGAGTTGGCAACTTACCTGCCAAAAATTCCCAAGGAATCTCATATAGGAACAATGCATACCTGGGGGTAGAATTTGGAGTCATTTGATTGTATGTGAGCAGTGGGAATCACGTGGGCAGCAGGGTCCATTTTGGAGATAGGACTCGTGCGTCCATGTAGATTAGGTTCTCAAAGTTTTAGCCTTGCAGCTTTTGTAGGTCTTGAGATGAAAACTCGGTGCAGACGCACATATAGGCACACAGACACACACATAAACAATCTCTCAACAGTATGCGTTCTTGCATTGCATAGATGCAAAAAAAAGAAGCGTATAAAGAGAAAATCTTCCGTAATGATACAAAATGAATCGTCACTCATTTGCCTTAGAGTTAGTCACAAAGTAGAATTTCTGCTTCAGTATAAATCTGACAGAGGAAGAACAGTGCAGCATACCATCAACGTCGACGGTTGCTCCATTCTGCAGCAAGGCATCCGCGCATTGCCGGTGATCGAGCATAAGTGCTAGCTCAAGCAGTGTCCAGTCGCCCAAATACCGATCCTCAACTCGATCCTGAAGTCGGATTTCCGTCTTGGACAAAATCATCTCCAGCGTTTCCTCGTCATTCCATTCAACGGCTAGCAAAGCTCCTGAATCAATATTCAGCAAATGGACAGAAGGTTTTGCACTCAGATGGATTTCAGCTTTTTTGCGTCCGTTGTTGCAGTGGGAAAAGGAAAATCATACAGAAAGAACCGTATTAGAAACAAAGAGCCGACTCACTTGGGTATTTTTATTCCCATGCTGGGTTAACTTAAAATCCCTAAGATTCGGGAATAAATGTGAGAATGCTGCAGCATAGGTTAAGACACATACCACTGTTGCTTAGCATATTCGTTTTTATTTTTCGCTGTAGAATTGCAAAATCCTTTTTATTTCGGTCCTTTGAATTTTCACTTCCACACCGTCTAACTGAAATTAAACAAATGAAACAGTACCGCGCCCTCTTACTGAAAACACAACCAGATTTCTTTCAAGAAAAGCAGCTCGGTGGAATGCTGATAGAAAAAAGTACTTTTAGCCACATTTGAAAAAGCACAGGAAAAAATACTTCCTCGCTCATTTTTATGCGTTTCTTGAATCTGTGTAATGCGAAAACGCACATTCTCAAAAGATTGTCTGTGTGTCTGTGTGTTCGTGTGTACAGCTGTGGCGATTTTTCATCTCGGGACCTAATAAAATTATAACGCTGAAAATTTGGTAATTTAATCTACACGCACCTAGGGAACTCTATCCCAATAATGGACGCCCGTGGCCACGTGTTTTCACATAGGGGCATGTGAAAGTTTTTTCTGGCAAGAAAGCGATTTCGGGAACGGCGCAAGCTAGAAGGCTGAAACTTTACGAAGATATTCCGTGGCCACATTAAACTCAAAGAATTCAGCCTTCACGAACCCCAAGTCTCCCGCACATACGCGTCAAAGTTTAAATTGGCACCGCACCAACTCAAGACCTATGCTGATAAACAAGCTGTACAGAGCTGTAATTTTGTAGCCTTGCTTGTCACCAACTGACGTGCTCGTGAAAGTAAATTGAGCTTTCCAGCCACTCTGCTTTTTATGCACGGACACGTAAAAATTTGACACAGGCAGTTTTGCAACTTCGAAACTGAAGCAGATAGGGGCAGAATCTTCCCAGTCATAGCTGGCGAACGCCGTTTGGCCAGTTGGACGTGAAAAAAATATTCACGCTCCTTTCATTTCTCACTTGCGAACACGTTTGAAACTTGACGTAACTCCGCAACCGAAGCAGTTAGAACTCTGAAATTTCCTGAGGATGGCTCACGACCGTTTGAGCGGTGACTTATAAGAACTTTCACGTTCCCCTCTCACGCATGAACATGTGAAATTTGACGCAACTCTGCAACCGAAGCACCTAGAGTGTTGAATTTTTTGAACACAGATTGTGAGTCACAGTAGTAATTTCTGAAATTCGTGTGTCCAGTCTCAATTCGTTTAGCAAGAAAAATCCGCCGGAAAAACAGTGCCGTTAGCGACGAAAACCAGCGCGGGAAC